ATAACGATAACATTCATTTTTTTCCATTCGTCGCGACAAATGTGATTATGCATATAATAAAAAATTAATAAAAAAAAATAAACTTGTAGTTTGGTATAAATATAATAATATACGCATCTCGATACGGTAATGTATCTATAATGATTTTTAACGGATATTTTTTATAGTATAGGCGCCTCATGACGGTTTAGTGTCACGTGTAGTAATAACAATAACATAATAACCTTCCTCTTAATATTATTATAGTTGTGTAATGTCGATTTCACATTTTCCAGTTCAATAATGACGTATAATTTATACCGCAGTAGCAGTACTGTACATCTACTAGTGTTCAATATTTTTCATGTTATAGTCGTTGTATAAAGTAATAATAATATTTTATTTTATTAAATAATATCACAGGCAAGAATCCAATTACTAAAAATAATATACACAATATAATTTAGTATAGGTACAATATACTGTATTTAGAAGAACAGTTATATGAAAGTATATAATAGTTAGACAGACAAGGGGATGGGGTCAGTTTGGCCCTATGATAAGAAATTATAGCTGATAACCGAAATTAAGAGTTCGAACTCTAACCTTAAATGAAAAATAATACAAATTAATACATTAGGCATTGTAAATAGTTCCAGTATGAATTCGGAGTTTATGAATTTCTCACCCTGTTCCTGGATAAGGTACATTATTTATCTATAATATTCTAACCATCGGTCGATAATATTCTTACTTCTGAATTTGGTAATAGGTCGATTCATTCTAAAATTTAGTAAAACTATACCTAAAAATCATATTGTAGCCATCTATCTATTGTTATTTATTGTTTAAAACTATTAAAAATTTAGAACTTACAAAAGCTGATTAAAATACCTTTAAATGTAATAAATTCTAATTTACATTATAATATAACATTATTTTTGTGATAGATGCATAATTAAAATGGGAATTTTTATGTTTTAATGTTGTTACTCCTGCATTTTCGGTTGGCCTTGATTTAAGCGCTTGTTGTAGGAGATAAATCTGGCCGCTATCTCGCGAGGCCTAATTGTACGATGCCCACAGAAAATTACGGGTTTTTATTGTCAAGCGTAAACAAACGACCAAAAAGAGTTTTAGACCAGAAATTAGAAAAAAGGTAAAACTATTAAAATGAGTGGTGTTTCTAGTTGATCGTACAGAAACTCTGAAGTGAACTTCAGCAAGTAAATAAGGAATAATCAATATGATTCGAAAATTCTAATAATTATATTTTGATAAAAGAAACAGCATAATTATATTACATTATAAATCTAACGTTTGGCTATTTCAGATTCAGATAGAGTAATATATAAATCACATTCAGTATCCAAATTGAAGCCGTAAGACGCTTCCTAATAGTATCGATAGTTAAAAAAAAAAACATATATTTATCCAAGTTTATTGTGTTTTTTTTTTTAGTACAATATAAACATATAATAAATCTAATTGAAAAAATATTATTTTATTGATTACGAAATCAAAAGAATAAATACTCTAGGAATACATACTATAATACTGCTTTACATTTTAGTGAAGTTAATAATAATAATAATGAAGATATTTTATTAATGAAAAAATGTCCACTTTCATAATAAAAATTAGACAGTATATAAGTTATATATATTTATAGAACATCATGTACATTAATTAATTAATGACTAAATAAAGGATAAATTATGGAGGAGTTAATATTATACAAGTATAATTAACTGGATAAAATGTTTGACAAATTAAATAAGGTAGTATTAAATAAGTTTACATTATGTATTGAGTTTCCTGTAGACATAAAATCATTTGCTGGCATGAATCACATATTTTGAGTAGCTTGTTAAACCGTAAAATAGGGACTTATTTCTTGAACGAGATTCATTAATTTTAAAATTTAATCACTCATTTCCGAATTATTTCAGGATTTATGAATAATAGACCATATTATATAATAATTTGTATACAAATATATCTTGAATGAGGAACTATTTTAATATGATATTTATCACATAAATTTCTTAGAAAGTTGTTTTGAACTGAGAATAGATTTTGATATCAGTTTACACTATTAGTGTGTAAAATTAATAGAGCATAGTCGAAATGAGACCGATTTAATGAGTAGTATAACACTTTAAATACTGACTTATCATTAAAATTCTTGCACTTACGTTTTAAGAACTTTAGTTTCATAAAATCTTTATTTCTTATTTATTTAATATGATGATTAAATGTAAGTTTTGAATCAAATAAAATACACAGGTCCTTAATAGCATCTTTGCTTCTTATGTAGAGGTATCAAATAATAAAACAAACCTGTTCGACAATATAAAAAACGAGTCCTTTATTTAAATACTTGATCACCATTTTTCGATATTCTTTATTTTCAATAGTGCAAAAATAAAATATTATGTACAATGTGCATGTTACAATTATTAAATGTTATATGTTAGTTTGTTAATTGCGTTTCACTCTATAATTTTCAAAATTACATATAATACAGATAAGCCGAGGTGAAAATATTGATAACGATAAAGGTAAAACGATTAAGGTCAATCATTGTGGATAATCCACACATTCAACAATTTGGTCTGTTTGCAGATAATGGCGCATAATATACTATTCTAAGTTTCGTGTACTTCATTTTTAAACTGCACATTGTTAATTATTCTTTAGAAACTTAAATAATAATAACATTAAAAATAATACTTTGTGTAAAAAGCAATATTTTTTTTTTACTATTCGGAAAAAAACAACATTCGGTCAAAAACAATTAATAGTATTTGAGAAATACTATTCGAGAAATATAATGTTCGAGAAAAACGACCTTAGGAAAAAAGGCTGTAAAAAGAAGGGGGAACCATTTTTTACATTAAGATTTACATAAACTGATGAAATCGATTTAATTTTTAATTTTAACATGGTCTATTAATGAAGTTTTGAATTATTTTCTATTGCTTTAAAACAAATTTAAAATAGTTGAATTTTTTTTAGTAATTATAATATTTAAATGAGTGATTTTCAAATTTATTGATGTTTAGTTATTTTATACATATTTAATAGCTATATATTTTTGAAGTATATTATCATTATTTTTTGATGTTGACAATATGATATTGCTAACCACACACGAGTATACGTGAATAAGTAAAAATATAATTAAAATTGCACTCTTTTTTTTTAAAAAAAAAGAAAAAATTCTGTAATATTTTTATAATTATTTTTATAAAGTATGTTAATTTTCATTAATAATAAACTTAATATAATAATAATAAACAACGGAGTAAGTATTATATTATTATTATTATTACACTCGTGTACGGTATTCAAAGTTTATTTTTTTTAAATAATAGAGGCGGACGGGGAAGTTTAATTAAAAATCGTGTGTTTGTAGTAGTCCTTATATGTATAGGTAGCAAAATACAAGGACTTTATAGGTGTTTTATTTATTTATTTTTATTTTTTTTAAATACTCATCTACTTTTATAATAATTAACGTAGGTAAAGTTGTTTTAATCATATTAATTAAAATAATTCCTTATTATACACTACGTTTCCTGTGCTTAAAAACTTGTATACAATCAGATAGAAATCGGAAACGTACGGTAATTTTTTAATGAACGGGTATATTATTATACCATCGATAAATCAATTGCATCCGAGTAAACACGCACAGTTATTATTAAATATTAAAATATACATTAACGAAATTGAATCGGCTTTCAGCAGACACATATTCTTCAAAAATTGTTAAATATTTACTTTTTCGAATAACGACGCATTGTTTTATAAAACTCAATATTATTATTATTATTATACGTTTGGCGGGACGGAATTGATTAAGATGGTTAATATTTAATTTTGTTGTACCGCGGTATAGACCAGACAAATGGGAAAGGTAGGGGATACATAGAGTTATTAAATTTGTATCTGTACGCAATGAAAAAACGTTGCTAACATTTTACCATTCTGGGTGAAGTTTCGTTAAACATGTTTTGAAATGCCACGATTTTAGTCAAAAATTAAACTTAAAACACTTTTAATTTATAAATAGATGACAGGACACATTTTTCAATTACTTAAATAGTTTTTATGCAATCAATTTATAGTTTTAATATATATTTTTATATTTTTAATATAAAGTTAGTGTTGACTATTACGAATGTATATTTAATAATTGTATTAAAATTAAGGTTAATAATAATAATGTTACGGATATTATATATCTCCTTGCCAACCAAAACAACAAACATACTTAAGTTTTCTACACGTGTGTTTGTAAACCTAAAACACATACAACATTGCGCTTTGTTTAACCACTAATAAAACATATAATATAATTCATATTAAATTTTAAGTGAATCTTTAAAATTTTATTTTTTTTTTATAAATCTCCTGTGATTTAGATTTTTCCGTGATTCCGAATTTTCATCACAATTTTTTATAATTTGTAAATGGTTTAATACTGTTTTATGAAAATAACTTAAGCCATTCGTCCTTAGAACTAAACTTTCTGTGAGTATTTGTATGTAGCATAGAACTATGCGGGCCAGGTTTTCCAAAGTCTGGGACAGGCACCAATGAAGATAATAACCGGATCAAACTGATAAAATAAACAATGGAAATTAACCTTTTTTTTCTCTTTTAACTAAAAAGCTCTTAGACAGAAAAAGAAGGGTTGTACAAATATAAAACTCGACAAAATCGTGTATTTGCAGACTTGAGCCGAAACGCAACTTACGCGCTTTTAGGACATTTCAGGAATTTCGAAATACAAAACTTACATGTTGATACAAACCCGATAATGTTCCAAAAAATCAGTGTCCTAAGTACGAATCTTAAATTATTTAAATTCATGACGGATTTTGTATTTACATAGAGCCATAGAAAAAACTTGGATAGTGTTTTTATATTCGTGATCTCACAGGGTCACGTACTATCTGGGTATTCGATAGAATTCATATTCCATTTATATTTAAACAAAATATGACGTTTAAATTTAGAATACAGTTATATTAAAATTATATTTATATATATAAAAACAATGAATAATAATAAAAATTACTATCGATTTTAAGCAACAGAGGGACCGGATCAAAATGAATTCAAGAACAATAAAAAACAGCCGGACCGTGCAGATCACTATATAGAGTCTTCGATCGAAAATCCGAATGAATCTGCGTACACACGAATGAAAAATTCGTATTCACGTATACATAATACTCTATACTTTGACACTCTATACGGGAAAAGGTGAAAGCGATTACTCGCGAAACAGTGGTTTTTACCGTGAACACTGTCCGGTGGTCGTTTTTCGTAGCCGGACTGCTCGTTCCGCAATAGACGTGGATATCCGCGATAAATGACCAACAATATTTCGACTGTTATCCGTGATACGACTGCCTTCACAAAAGTGTTGATATCGTACAATTATACTGACTCATAGATAACGACGGAGAGATTGCGGCGGCGGTGGTGCGAGAGTTTAGGACTATTGCTGTACCACTCCGACGAGACCGCGAAACAAGCAAGTTTGTTGGTCGGTTGTTTAACATCGAACACGACACTGCCACCACCGTAGCTGCTATTGTATCGTCGGGTCGAAACTTTGGCGTCGTGAGTTAATAATTTGTTCGGAAGGCGCAGATGCTCGTTGGCGGAAAATCCTATTCCGGAGATAATCACTTTTGCGCGCGTAGGTAGCGGTAGCCCCGTCTCCGACGAATAGACGACCGGCTCCCGTCGTCGTATACAAAACAAATCCGCCGGCTTGACAATAATATTATTCTTCGGATAAGCATAACTTTTCTCGCGATGGGTCTCGAAATAAAAAAAAAACCGACAGTCAATAGTATAGACTTAGACGACATTATAATGATAATGTATACGGGAGAGAAATAAATGTGCCCGAATAAAAAGCATTGATATGAATTATTCGTTTATTGTACGAATAGAGACGGGCGAGAAATGTGAAAGACGGTGTTGGATAAGTGATAGAGTACGTGAATATATATTAAAAGTAGAGGAGAAAGATTATTATAAGAAGCCGTACCTGTACGAGCGTGTACGACTAGACTTTTTACTATCATGGAGTAATGTAAACGTAAATAAAAGAGAGCTGATACTGCTGATTGCTGTACCACTATTGTAGGCGGGAAGTCAGAAAATTATGATACATATGATTATTTCATTTGTACATATTTACGTAACGATAAATCATTGCTGAAAAAATATGATTATGATCGACTTTTTTTAGCTAAATATACTAAAATAAAAATGTCTTGTAATTTTTTCATTGAAGCAATATTTCCTGTAAAAAGTTGACAGTTAACAGAAAAAAAGCATACATTATCATAATTAAATCAATAAATTCCTCGCTTCGCTGCCTTCAGAATGTAAAGGTGCTTTGTGAGTGATCGTTACTGTACGACCATACCGCAGACTGTTATGGGTGATTGTTCTGTTAATGATTACAGGATAATTTAGCTTGTATACTGTATCAAAAATTATTCTGAACGGAGTAGCATTATTATAATTTTTTCCTCTTGTGCCAAAGTAACCCGAAAATCAAAACGTATCAAAAAACCAAACAAAATATATTGGGAGTGTGAACTAATGACTGTGTCGATAAATGGTTCAAATGAAATTATGCTTTCCATTTTTAATAACCGAAACTGTGTTTCCCAAAACAATATAAGTACACATATTATATAGTACTAAAACCAATTGTTTTTTCGCTACTCTCAGAAACTAAAATATACTTGATTGAAAACGAAAAACGATAGCAACCACAAAAAATCGAAACGTGCTAATCTTGAGGAAGAAAAAACCTTTCGGAGGTATACAAATTATTATTATTTCTACCATAAATATTGGTCCGAGCGTGATAATGGTCATTTTATCATTATCCCGGCGTACATTACGAGTACATTACGACGAGAGTTATTTGTACGAATAATACCCGAAACACATCGACGACAATAATTATTAACACAATATATTAACAGCCATACTAATGGAAACTATAATAATATATCGGTTATTCAACCCACTTATCCCTGACTGATCACTTTTCCCACGTAACCACTACTTCTTCGCATATTTATATATATATATGAAATAACACTTTTTGACTGACAGATTTGTCGTATCTCCTGTTTGTAGAGCTCAAAATACCAGGATTTAAAATAATTAGCAGAAGTTATCCGAGACATTATAATAAGACTTTTGGACATTTAAAGCTTTGGTTTACTTGTAAAATAAAAAAACTAAAATATAAAAATTTTTATTGTAATTATTATTTTACCTTGGAAACGCAGATTAAAAACCATTTATTATTAACTATTTGGTTTTCAAGGTTGAAAAAGCCCAAATTTTAAAAAATACGAAAATAAAAAAAAAATAAAAACCTCGATAGAGATGGATACATAATAGTGAGTATAGGTGGTTATACTATAAAAAACATTTAATTTACCACTGACGAGATTAGATATACTATAATATATTTGTTTTCTTCGTTTCCTTTTTTTTTTAAAATGATAACAGCCTTTAAGTCCAACCATCTAATCAAATGTTACTTCGTCTATTTCTGTTTACCTATCTCTTCATTGCATTTTAGATATTGTCGACCATACATATACAAAAACGCAAACCCCATTTTAAGGTTGGTTATTCCATTTATTATAATTATCATTTTTCTGTTGGTTATTATAAACATTGTTATTTATCCCTGTTTCCTCCTCATAGGCACAAGTATAAGGGAGCAAGACGAAACACTTATCCTTCTCCTCTGAATAATAAACTAGTTATTTTAATAAATTGAAATTCAAACCTTTGTACGTTTTGAGTATTATTTTTGTTCTACCTCTCCTTTTAAATTTTACCCCATAGAAGCCCATGTTTCTCAATACATTCCATTTCCTTTTCATTGCTATCGTTAAAATATCTTTTGAATGCAAAAATTATAATGTTATAAAGTTCAAAAAATTACAGTTACAGCAGATAAAAAAGAATAGAATAGAAAAACCGAGTAAATTAATATGAATGGATAAAATATAATTCCCGATGCTTGGGTTTGTTCGTCGAAACGTTGATGATAATGGTTTTCCGACCGCTGTGTCGTGAATGACGTCATTTACGAAAACAGAATGGTCGAGATAATATTCGAAAATGAATAAAATCGCAACAGCGTTAGTGGAGTTGTCATTATCCGTTGTAATCATAATATAAGGAAGCGGAAAATCGACTTCTCTTCCTTTCTCTCTCCCTTCTCACTTTTTCTCACTTTCTCTCTCATTCTCACTCTCTCTTTCTCTCGTTTTGAACGTGATAAAATAATCATACAATTTAAATCAAAAAGCGCGATTGTTTCGAGCGCAAAAATCGTATTGGTTTTGAAGAAAAAAATAATATCAGACTAGTAATCACGTGAGTATCGAATATGAACGATAAATATAGTAATTATTTTTGTCTCCAGGTACGACGATGGTTTATGATATTGATAATCGTATATTATGTTATATAATACTTGTTCTCTTTTTCAATGTGCATAAAGGAAATTGTTTTATCGTATAACCCTTTATCGTCTGTAAATTTATTATGTTATATATGCGTACAATTAAGTATGCTATAGATTATTGTTGTCAAAATTTTACGCAAACCGCAATCAGTGAATATAGGTTTTTATTTAAAATTATTATACAAACGATATTAATTTATTAAACTCGTTTCAAATAGAAAATATATTATAGAAATTTATACAATATTCAGAGTAATGATAAGAACTAAACACGAAAATTGACGTCAATGAATTTGTTTCCATCCTACCGATATATTTTATGAAAATACTTTTGTAATTGTAATTTGAAATTACGATTGTTTTTATTAGTGTTATGGCTTAATGCACTAAATCCTTCGTAATTTATTTAAAAAAAAAAAAAAAAATTGCAACACAAAAAAATACCCTTAATCATAGTATGCATTGCATTAGTTCCAAGAATATCCTTATGGATGTTTTAACTTTCAATCACCGACCCTTACGTTGTAATTTGATCAAATTACACCAATATTCCAATATGCGCAGTTTCAATTATTATGTACATATATATTCTATATAAATTCCACTAGGAGCAGTAGCATACAGTTATTATTAACTAAGTTAATAAAAGAAAAGTGTATGAACCTTTATTTGTTTTCATATCTCAGCTCGTTGGGCAACTATTTTATCTATAACTATGATAGTTCTTAACCAGAATCGTTATTACAATTCTTTTATTAATCAGATGAACGCCGATTATTGTATTATGATGCTCTCATCATGTTATGTTATTTGTTTACAGATATACCATTTAGATGATTTTTATTATGTGCCAACCGTTGTTTATTATTATAGGTACCACAGTTACTACGGTAAATTCAAATAATGAGATTTCAAGTACAGACGAATTAACTCGCAGAAACGATTTAACAATATTTATATTCGTAAAAATTTGTTGAAAGTGGAATTTACGTCACAACACTCTCCCAGTTCTGCAGAAACTGCCACAATGTTTACATTTTTTACTTATTGAAAACCGGAAACCCCGTATTATTGTATTAAATAAATTTAGTTAACTCGAAAATCGGAAAGTTTTATTTTAAATTTTAAATGGGTACTAGCATTTTTTTTAAATAATATATCATGCACTTTATTCATTATCATGATTTAGTAAACCGCAATTCTAGCAAAATATTATTATTTTTTTTTTTTCATTATTAGTTTTTTATAGTGTTGTACCTAGTAATGGTTAGTTTCTACCTATTAAACAACCGAATTGTTTTATTTAATAATTTGACATATTTACCTAGGAATACCTTTCACATAATTCACGCTAAATACTAACGTACATTTTAGATGCGTACGTTAACTTGGAATCGTTATTCATTAACCTCATAGTAGGCCATAATATTGTTATAAAAGACTTTAGCGAGAAAAATGCCTTATTTAGATTTAATTTAATTTTAATCAATTTTAAAGTGGTTTAAATAAAAATGTATTATCGATACCAGAACGCAGAATTATTGTTTCGCATTATTAAATATACGCCATCTGTCAGAATCGAGTGCATTATCATTAAAGAAAATGTTCGTCCACTATTCACAATGATAGTCTATTGCACATGTATAGTTTAAAAACGAAAACTAATAATTAATATTGGTAAGGATTTTATGAATTAATTATACAACTATCGATTAATATTTGGACGGTTTTTACGGGAAAGGGCTTAAGTCAATATTTTGTCCACTTACGTTTAATTGTCAATTCTGAATGTAAATTCAATATTGAATAGTAATTTTGTATTTATACAATTTACAGATATATTTATATACCTATATATTCTCAAAATTATATCTTAAAATTCGTATGGTAATAAGACTCGTGTTATGTTAATGCATTTTTAAAAAATCAAGTCAAAATGACAAAAGGAAAAAGTCCTAATTAAGTTAAAACTGTTAAAATTAAATAAAATCAGATAAATTAATAGAAGAATATTGTAAGCAAACGTATAAAAAATTCATACAATTATAAAATTATAAAATCTAGAAATAAAAAAAAAACAAAAACAAAAAATTACAATACATGGTGTTCCGATTTAGGATTGACTCAAGTCTAATCAGATTTTGATGATGTATTGGTTTTACTATGCTGTTATTATTTTTTTAATTTTCATCA